AGGTAAATAAGTCATAAGTGAACAATTCTTCGTTCAGATATGATTATTAAAAAGATATATGATTATCTTGAAAAGCAGGTCACGCATAGCGGTATAATTGGCTCATCACGAGTGGTAAATCGTCTGTTCGGCTATTAATTTTTGTGATTAGGTCGCTGGCTTCGGTTCAACTTGCCGGTGTCACGCACGAGATGGTTCTTCTCAGCCGGATAATTATCAAGTCAGCGAACTGATTCAGGTTGCCAATTAAAGATGGTACATACTCGACGCTGGAGAAACTTATACATATGTATGCAGGCGGTTACTTGAATCCACTTTTGACGAACGCCAACGAACATGCATATTTACATACATTTCCGATGGAAATTGAGTTTTACTAGCGTCTATATTACTTTCACGGTTCTTCGGACATGATTGCGAGATCTCTTGTCACGTAAAAATCATTCATCAGTGATTAAATTAAAATTGTGATTTCTTTCGATGACTTTGACATAAAGATTCATAACTTTTTTGCTACCATTTATTGAATTAATCATAACTTTAGTATTTTTTTATTTTTTATCTATCATTTTATTTGGGAAAATGATTAATTACAAAAAAATCTAATTTTAGTTAATAATACTTTTAATAATTATTTTTATATATTATCTTATTAATGTGTTGTTGCGCATCTAAATCTCTGCAAATAAAGAATAAATTTTTGAAAATTCAAGAAAAGAAATATAATTATCTATATTAATTGGAACAAATAATAGCAAAAATAATTATATAAATTTTTAATTAATGTTAATCTAAAAATACCAAAAAGCTAATGGCTATTTTTTGCTAAGTTATATATTAATTCGATTCTGTGTTTTAAAATTAGTAATATTGATATAGTCTATATGCAGTTTTAATAATCATGAACTCATTGTCAGCATGCTAACCTGAAATATGTAGGTAAATGAAAAGCATTAGAGCTTGCTGAGAAAAAAACTTAGTTCCGTTCTGTTAATCCCGTTCTTTCAAAGTGTACCGAATAAATGTTTCAATCCTTTAACGTATTCTGTTATCATACATTAATACGTCTTTTGCAAAAATTATAAATAGATTTAGAATACTATTTACAATAATAGGTATCATTGATGACATATATTAGTACATGCGAGTAAAAAGCAGTAATTTTTGTAACAATTAATATCATATTTAATATTTAAGACGTGTTTAATTTCTAAGACAAGTTTATTTTCATGCGACTACATTATATAATCAGCTGGTTATATTAAATGAAGGCAGAAGCAATCAAGCGGCTTAAAAATTCTCCAGTCTTATACCAGTTAAGATAAAATGCCTCTCTTTGCCGGCGGCTGTTAAAAATACGGAGCGATTCTTGAAAGTAATTACGCACAATTTCTTCGACCATAGCGACCACCGCTTTCTATATTCCGCGAGCATGCGGTTTATGGGTTTATGCAAAAAAGAACTATGAAAAGACGAATTTATGCAGATGCGTATGGGCATGAAGGTAACATTGACTGGTTATAAATGATAGTTATGAAACGTACATAAGAGCAATAAAAAAAAAATTAAGTATCGAAAGTCTTCTGAGATTGTCGTTTAAGTTTCTGGTCTTTCAATTTTGTAAGTATCAAGATAGATGCTTCATATATATCATATCGCGTCGTTTATCTAATTTATTTACGTAATAAAATCTGGATAAAATGCAGATGATAACAATGATACCATGTCACATGCACGTATTCATAAAATGCACGATCGTCCCTTTCACTCTATGATGATTAGAAAGCATTAATTACATACTAACTAATTATAGGCAGTTATACACAATACGATGATGCTTATGGTTATCATTATATCTGTGGCCTAATTCCTTTTTTTTACAAAATACGTTTATATTTATGTTGTTAATATATTATATACTATAATTAAATTGTTTAATCGATGTAAAGAATGAATATTTTATAAAGAAAAGAATTATACAGAATTATCTGCATATCTATATATATGTATAAACATCTCATACTTACGTCGGTTTTATGTTTCAAAATATCCTATTCTTTTTTATCTTGATAGTAAATGAGTTCAAGAAGACTCTCATAATTCTTAATACTGATATAAATACTACAGCATTATATATGTATGTGTGTGTGTGTATATATATTTATATATAAATATATGTAATCAGTAATTAGAGTTAAGAGAGTCTTTCTGAATTCATTTACTGTCAAGATAAAATAAATCAAGTGTTTAAAATAAAAAGTAACGTAGTACGTATGATGTAATATTAGATTACCAGTTTGTTATTTATTATATGTTTCTGCATTTGATCTAACATAAAATGATAGCAAAAAGATATCAATATGTTCAACAGACATACATATAATTGCTTTCTGGATGTTACATGCAGTGTCCATCAGCGGCTACGTAGGCCAACGAACCAGGATCTTTCTGCTGCGAGTCAAGGTACTTATGTCCTACTTAAAACATACCTTAACAAATTCGATGGCAGTCTCTTTTTTTTTTAGCCAATATAAGATCCACTGGCCAACATTCATTGAATTTTTACACCGCACTGCTAAACTTACGTGTATCTTAATATGTTTTCTGCGTTATCTTTTCATCTTAAAGTTTTATTTTAACAAAAATGCTTAATGATGACAACAAAACGATGTCATTACTAAAATTGACACAAGTAATACAGCTATAGACATTAATAATATATTAGAATTGTTATCTTTAATTTTTTATATTTAGGTATTTCTGAAGCATTTTCTTCTCGATAAATTATGGCATAAATATTTGTTCAATAAATATAATGAAAACCTACAAAATTTTTAATTATTTATACACGTAACATTTTTACTTTACATTAACAATACCTTTAACAATATAATAAAATTACTTGTATAATATTTTATATACGATCCAATTTAAAGTGCTCAATTCGTAAAATTTAGTATTCGATTGTAATCGAGGACGAAATTTAGTGAGCTGTGAAATTGAGGTTTCTCGGTATATATTCTGTCATTATGATATCACCAACGTGTACGCCGATCGATAATCTTAGAGTACCGTTGGCGAAACCGGAAATGCTGAGTATTCAGTGTCAATGCCACAAAATTGCCCGGGACCTTCGCTACGGAACGGAAAGCACTTGGTATGTGAGAATCAACGCTTCTTTGGCAGAACCTCAGTCGCCGTGAAATCGTAACTGGCGGTTCATTCGTGCAGGAAACCGGACGCAAGTGTATCTTTTTATATCTAACGATTTGGGCTTTTAAACCAAGATGGCTACGAAAGAAATCCGGAGGCTCATTAAGCTCGCGCCAATTAGTTGTGCGCGGTTATCATCGTAAATGTGCGATCGCAGTGAGAAATGCAACAAAGACGCGAGCCCTATCTGCTGGAGGATCTAACCCGAACCCCTCCGAGATCCAATTAAACAAATCGACTCGTCAGATCGTACCGCCGAGCACCACGAAGAAGAACTTGACTGCTTAAGGAAGGCAGGATCGCTGCGCTTTACGAGCGTGATCAAGGTTTATCCGCGAGTTAATTAAACCCAAGGAATATGTGTTACGTAATTACGTTCGCTGACTAGCTACTTCCGGTTTGCGGTGGAAACGCCGCCTATGTTTTGTCACACATAATTGTTACGATCGATGTGGCGTGAAACGAAATTATCTAGTTCCAATGAAATTATAGTAGAGCGTCGAGGCCCAAGCTCGTTGAAAATTATAGCTAACTTCAATTGGTTCAGTCTTAAAATAACAGAGACCATTATATGTGCAACGCATGTATATACCACAAGATGATCCCACTTAAACCAGTCTTTTAACCCGTACGTGATCAATTGTTTAAATTCATGTAAGATATCTTTTTAGTTTTTTATTTGCAAACCGATAATAATATTTATTCATTTATATATTATATATACATCTATATACATAAGACATCTTTTTTATTAACATCATAATATATGTAAATGGACAAAAAAACCATCTTCCGGTCCTCAATTTCTAATTACGAGGATGTTCGATTACTCAATTTCCTTATACAACGCTTCAGCCGCGATATACTGTTAATAGTTCAAAGTGGAAAAAAGAAATAAAAAAATTTTCTAACGTACCGACCTTCAAACGGGTCTCAAGAGCCCGATGGACTTGGAAGTTGAAAGGTTTCATGTGAAAGTCAAGGCCAGCCAGTTGCATATTTCATCTCGTATGGACGGATTATTATTATTATTACTATACAGTTTTACACATGAATTTATAGGCATGTTTGGTGAAAGCGAATTGTCAGTCACTTTTACGAAAATTGTTCTATCTGTTTGCCTTTCTTGAGTAAATATTAACACAATTATAAACGGTCGAGCAATCGCATAAAGAACGTGCTCTCGATTAATACATATTAAGAGAAATGACATATAATTGTTTGTAATGATTACATAAATTATGCTTGATTGATAATTTGCAATTTCACTTTATCATGATTTCGTTTTCTTGAAAGACTTCGTGCAGAAAAATAATTACATATTAGGAAAAATACGGATGAAAGCAACCAAAAGTAATATTTTTTAAAGATATCATGTATAATACTTTTCAAACATCAACAACTGTTTTGCTCAAAAGTTATATGCATTAAAATATTTATATCACGATAATATAAATTTTTGCTTGTTCGGTAAATTGTGCAAAAATGTCTTTTAGAATTAATTTAGCGAATTCATGCATATTTTGATACGTTTAAATATAAGTAGTACTAAAAATTCTGTATTCTCAATATGTGCAATTTTATGACATTGATTTTCTTATATTTCTAGGTAAAATAAAAAAATGCTCTTTTATAAAATCTGTATGAATATATATTTCATATGATAGTTTATTTATAATATAATTTAATGGAATTAAATTTTTCAAATGTTCGTAAATTAAAGACCAATAATTTTTATGTTATTTTTCAAGACTATTTAATAGAAAAAATATATGTGTAAATTACTTGAATTAAAAAAAGAGAATTTTAAACATCATCGAAAACGCCGCCTTGTATCTCCTTCAAATTGTTCTCGAAGACGTACAAACTGGTGCCAAAGACCGTATTGAGACCATGAAGAGCGCCGTTTTCCAGCCTCTGAAAAGAATTCTTGGATATATCTAAAACGTAAAGACTTCCTAGATTTTTGCAAGCTCCTTTGTGAATCTCGGATATTTTATTTTCCGAAAGCCAGAGACGTCTCAACAAGTTCAAGCCTTCGTAGCTATCACCCTCTATAGTGGTTAAAGTGTTGTTGTTCAAATACAGATCCCTCAGAGTTGGCAGGTTAAAGGCACCACGCGTTATGTTAGAAATTCTATTTCCGATCAAGGATAAGGTAGATGTCGGAGTTCGAACGAAATTGCCTTCCTCGAGAATATCGATCTCATTATAATCGAGATACAGGGAGTCCACGGATTGCGCTAGATCGGTAAACGTGATCTTGGAGATCTTGTTATTGGCGAGGTTCAACTGCCTCAGATCAGTCAACTCAGCAAAAGTACCCTTCTGGAGATCACGTATAGAGTTGTGGCGAAGATCAAGTCTCTGCAGCTTTGTTAAGCCTTTGAAAGCGTTCGGTTCAATCGTCTTTATATCATTCCTCGCCAATGATAACGTTAACAAGAATTTCAAACCTTGAAAAACATCGTTCTGCAATGCTTCGATTTTGTTGTCGTCGAGACATAAGTAATTCAAACGGTAGAACTTGGAGAACACGCCGTCGGGAATAGAAATTATGTGATTTCCGTTCGCAAGAAAGGCGGTGAGGGCATCCGGCAGACTGGAGACAAAATTCAAACTCTTCAGTTGATTACCAGAGAGATACAATTCAAATAGATCCGTCTTGGCAAACGCACCTTCCTCGATCTCCTCGATCAAATTGTTCCTCAAGTTGAGTATATTCAAGTGATCGTTCTCGATCACCTGACTCCAGATCCTGCGTATTTTATTCCCTTGGAAGTTTACATACGTCAGACTTGACGGCAGATTATTCAGCGTCTCCTTCGTGATCTCGGTGATTTCATTGTTCGACAGATCCAACGAGGCGATCCGCAGAGAGTGTAATCGATACCAATCTTCCTGGAAACCTTTGATACCCAGCTCAGCGAGATTCACTTTCATCGAGGTATCAATTGGCACCTCGGCACATCCGTCAACAAGTTCTTCGTCCTTCAGAAGAATTGCCAATGATGTTACGATACCATCAGACTTGCAAATTTTCAGTCGAGTATTTCCGACAACAGAGCTTTCAACGAGCTTTCGTTCCTGTGATTCGTCCGTAGCTACCTTATTTTTGTCGATTTTCTCCTCCTTTACGGGATTTTCCTGATTTTGCATTGCTGCCAGTCGCTTTATCTCCTCGGTGTCTTTAAGGAAAGAATTAGCGAATACACCTGTACTGATGCTCCAAAGAATATTTCCGTCAGTGAGAATTTTCACGGATTTGGTGAGGCCAAACAGGTGGCCCCTTCCAAAATGTCTGATAGGATTGCGAGATATATCCAACAACTGTAGATTCTCCAACCCGACAAAAAGATTTCGGACATTCGATATTTGATTATCCGACAACGATAAGCTCTTCAATTTTGTCAGATTAGAGAAGACGAAATCCGGCAGAGAAGTCAACGAATTGTTGGTAAGTATGAGAGACTCCACATCAAGCACATTATCAAAGGCATTTTTCTCCAGCGCGTGAAGATCCGGAAGGCTTGATAAATTCAATACCGTATGATTAAAATTTCCAACTAATTGAACATCTTTCAGGATATTGTTTTCGATGTTCACGATCAAATTCTTTGACGTTTCATTGATTTTTCCAACTTCTACAGGTATACTTGCCGCTAGAGGTAGCAAACATATGATGAGGGACAGCATCGTCATTTCCTAAAAATAACTAACGATTTTCTTTTTTTACAAACCGAAAATCTTCACATTTCTATATGTATACATCAGATATCAGATATCTATACTGTCAATAACTCAATAATAATTGATTGAATGTATTATACAGCTATTAAAATAATGTATACGTATGTTGTTAATATTAATAACTTAATAGAGTATATTGTGTACAAATAAATGATAATTTAAGTCTCATCTGTACAATTTTGTTTACTTCAAAATTTTTTTTATTTCTTTCAAAACATATAAAAGCTATACGGTAATTAAAAAGTACATAATCGTTAAATTAGCTTTTATTTTATCTTTACCAGTTAATTACAATAATATGTGAGAAACTTCAAGACATTGATTACAACTTTACATTGATAGCCAAGAAAATTGTATAGTAGATGCATCAAATCCCACGCTTTGAGACTATTTTGCGACACTCCTTATGACAGTTCTCGCGTATATAATCGTAATTACAATGATCATGATAAACGATGGCTTAGATTATTCTCCGAATCTTATGTCGGATATTATAGAAACCGGTTGCTTGACTCAAACTCAGGATGCACAAATTACATAATTTGTGATATTTTCCGATAATTTTTGAAAGCATTTTTATGGTATTAATGAACAATTCTTTCGACAATACTGATAATTTCGCGAAAATGTAACAAATTCAAGAAGATGTAAGATTCAAGTTACAAGGTACAATGAATTAAAGCGAGAACTATCTTTTTCAAGGTCAATTTTAACACAAAATCATATTTAAAAAGTCCACATGTATACATAAGCATGGAATTATATTTAAAATCTCTAGTTTAAGTACAAAATTACGTTCCAAAATGATCTCTATATGAAATGTATATTCCTTCTTGCTTTTTAAATAGTCGTCGTTGTTCTTTTTGTGGTTAATGCATCATGGAAACTTCAGTTAACGTGAATTACGTCGTTACAGAACATTCACGTAAGAACATGTTCCACTTACCGATCAATCGGCTAAACCACAGAAAGCCACGGAAGTTGTTGAAGAATCCTTCTGGCTTCGAACGCAGACAGACAAAGACTGCCTGTGTTTCTATTCCTGGCGGACACGCGTGCTGGCAAGATTCCTCAAGACGAGGTAATCACGAAAACAGGTCTTGCAAGCCATAGTCGAATCTCATGCGTGTATACAGATTCTTAGATGCGTATATAAAAGAGATCGCCTACGTTCTCGTGTCGTAGGCGATCTTGTGTCGAAAAAAAAAAAGAAGATAAATCCTTGCCTGAACTGCTCATGGCGATTTGTTTTTTAAGTTCGTCAACACTCGTGAGTTCTATGAGCGTAATTTACGTTGTTAAAAATTGAAGAAGTGGCGCAAGCCGCGTAACTCTCCTCGAATTAAAAAATCATTTCGTCACGCGTTAATCAGACATTCTCGAAAAAAATTAGAATTCGGTTTTTACTAATAGCTCGATCGCTGCTTAACGCGCGTTACGTCGAGCATATTCTCTTTTTTTTTTTTAACCATCTGTCGCCTTATTAAGACATCTTGAAATATTTTTTGCTTAAAAATCATGAACTAAATTTTTAGGAGTAAAATTTCATTCCCAATGAGTGATAGTTGTGCTAGTCTTACAGGAGTGATATTTTCACTTTCAGAGAGTGAAGAATTTTCTATTTATGTGGAGAGTAAATAATTTCACTCTCCGAAGGAAGAGACTGAAATTTTATTGTGATAAATATTATATTAGTGAAGTTTAGCCTCCCTACGTCTAATCGAAAAATTATTAGACTCATTCAATGTATTATATTTTTTGCACAAAACGAACGAATATGGCAGAAAAATACATTGCTCTGTCTCGCAAAGCGAGATATTAATCATTAAAATTAACTTTTTAGGTTAGATTAAAAAATTCATTCCTAAAGGAGTGAAGTGAAGTTCACTCCTTGTCGGACTGGCGCAACTATCACTTTCCTTGGAGTGAAATTTTACTCTAAAAAATTTAGAGTGAAGAGTACTGCGTTAGGTCATTCGAGTTAACTCAATTATGATACCTAAAAAACGTTGATTCTTTTTTTGAGTCAGAGTATTTCTGATAAACAATTTAATATGGAAATAAAGTCGAATTGAGCACTAATTAAATTTGCCACGCTATAATTTGGCTGTTTTATATTATGACTCTTTTTATTTTAATTTTACATCAAAAAGGAGTTGATGATTATATTTAATACGTCATGAATATATTATGTGTGTAAAATTGCAGCAAATAATTTAAATAACAATAATAATGATATCAAGTTCGGCGAATATTTCAGCATTAGGATATGATAAAGTACCGGTATACGATCTTTATCGAAGATTCGATGAAGCACGACCGATCGCCAGACCGTAACTGACAAAGGAGTCGACAAATTGTTTTATATCTAATCTATTAAAAAAATCTATAAAAAATATATAATAGTTCGATAATTAACAATATATTAGCAAATCATGAATCCAATTGAAATATAATTTTAGTCAATGATTCAAATTCTTGAAATTCGATTTTGCGTTTTCCTTTATATTTTCTTCTTTTTAACAACGATATATTAATGACTTAATAAGTATACAGGATTTAAAGTCACAAGACCGTAAAGGATTGTAAAATATTGAAATGTGCTGTTGCATGCGCATTCAAGACGCGTGACTAATATTTCCAATGCAAGTATATTAGATAATACACAATATTTATTTAACTCTATATACTCGTACACGCATATAGAGCATTTTCCTATACATGTATACACGCGTATACGACATTCCTCTTAAGATGAATCAAGTTCCCGTGCAGAAATTACCACATATCACGTGAGAGATTTAGTTTCCAGAGGATGTATTCTTGAAAATACATATGAAGAGCAAATTTTCAAAATGCATTTTGTCCAAAATATGATTTTTTGAGTTTGAGACGGCGTAGTGTTTAATAATGAAAGACACGTACTATAAGCTACTTTGGAATGTTGAAAAAGCATTTTTTCAGCTTCAATTTATATACTGGAAAAATCTAAACATTTCATGTGTGTTATATCCTTTAACTTAGAAACAAACGAAATGCATTTGTTTAACATTAGAAAATTATTTAGCAATTTTGTTTTACATCTTATTGATTGGCAAATATCGATATTTTCTGTGGTAAGGCGCGTGGTTTCCTTATGGCTTTCTTTCTCGTTTTTCGAAAATTATAAATTTTGGACAAAACGCATTTTGAAAGTCTGCTCTTCATATATCATACACGACTCGATGACGCTTGATAAAGGAGACTTCTGTGTCATTCAATGGACCTAATACCACTTAACTGGCTACCACCCGATCCGGTATTTCACGCGGACACACATCAACAAGTCGACTTTATGACCGGTTTGATGTTTCACATGTCGCGATTTCCCACAAAACCTTGCAAGATAAATGTTTACCCGCTTAGCCGAACGCAGAGCTCCGCGCCGCTAATTTCTAATGTTCGTGATCAGAGACGAGAGGGTCCTTTGCCTCTCGCGAAGCAACTAGACGCCCGGGGGTCGACGTACTTCCGGAAACCAGCTTACACCTTCCGCTGTGAGAACCACTGGATTTGCCGGATCATGATTATTACGTGGGCATAAGAGCGCGGCCATTCGTACCGGCGTTCGTACTTCTCTCACGGTTCCATTCACAAAAAACCAGTCAGCCGATATACGGCTCACGTGCGTTTAGTTAATTAAGTTTGTTACATACGTGCGTACGCATCGAGAGTGTCGAAGGTTGAGGCGATATCTCGCATACGTTAATCCGCGAGTGTAACCGCGTACTCTCTGAGTGATCACGCATTACACTTCTTTCCTGTGTGTCATTACTCCGAACTGCCTTCTCCACAATAAAACTCGTTTCCGCAAGATTCGAATATACAGCCTTGAACTCGTCTTCGCAGAATAAAAGCGCGCTATTGTCATTTCAGTTCCAAAAAAAAAGGTAATAATTAGCGTTTGACATATAAATAAATAATAAATTTTGCGATAGATTTTTGAAAAAAAGACATATATTTAAAATAATTATGGTGTAAGATGTGATAAAATATTTATGGTGAAATATGATAAAATAACAAACGAAGTTTTATTTTATTACAATGTTTTCGACATTTCTTTTAATTTATGATTTCAGCTTATGTTACGTGTTTTTCGGTAATATTTGCCATACACTCACGTAACATCTGGCAAGATTTGCTACATCATTTATAAATATTATTCTGCTTATATATTCTATCAAGCCTGATAGAGACAGAGCTTATATATTATAACGGATATAAGAGCTTATCTATTATAACGGATATAATTTTTCAACGCCAGTTTCAAGCACTGATTATCTAGCGCATTATCACATTGGGATATTATTTCTAATTTATTCTTATAAGAAAAAAGCATAGCTTTTAATTTTCGGAATTAATATTTCACGGATCACAAAACATAAAGGTGTCAGCGTATCCTCGCGCAAATTGCATCGCTAATTAACTATATGTAAATTTATGTTAAACCTTCGAGCTGAATAAATTAAGTAAAATGTAAAAATTCCCTATAATTTTCTTTATTAATATTAACAGAATAATATGGTACATGGTAAGGAAGAAGGATACAAGGATTTTTTCCCGTCTTGGAATAATAATTACTTCGATACAATTGTGTCAAATAATTAGCAACCTTATTAATCTCGACCGTGCCTCGATAAGATACATAGGTGTTAGGCAGAATCTGATTAAATAATTGATACGACTTATTTAAAATAAAAAATAAATTCTAACAACTTATTTAAAATATTAAATTAGAAATAGGTCAGAGAAAAAGTTGTTTAAAATAATAAATAACTAAACAATTTTTTTCAATTTTTTATTT